AGAGAAGCCAGGCCCCTGAGCTGGCAGATTAGAGCATGGAGTTTTCTGCAAAACACACCTTGGAGCTTGCATGAGTGTTTGCAATCAATGCATGTGAAATTCGGGCACTTTTCCTTTTCTCAAAATGGAGGTTTCCTACATGTATAGCTTTCCCATCAGTGCATGTGAGGTTGCAATCAATGCATGTGTGCGCGCAAGTGTGAAGCGGCATGTTGATTGCAGTGGAAGAGATGTAGATCCAACAGTGGTGGTGATGCGGCGTGAAGTTGATGTGTTGTAGGTAACATGTTTCAAGTCATCCAGCACAGGATGGCCTCAGAGCACAGATTTTCACAACAATATGGACCGTAGCAATTCTTCTAAGGGATCAGTTCCAAAATTCCATTCCCGTTGGTCAGTCGGTGATTGACGCGGTCAGTGTCTTGCCGTCCCGACCAGAACTCCTGTTACTGATGTTTCTTTATGGGTTTGTTCATGGTGTTGTTTACCTTCTTCTCGAACCTCCTTTTGAACGGGAACCAGGAACAAAAACGTGTCGCACAGAACCGTCCAGAACCACGGTGACGGGGAGGGCATGATGCTCGATAAGTTTTCCCGCTACTTCCCTACAGCATAATAACAAAGCAAAGCAAAACAAAGAGAGAGCAAATTCAAGGGCAACGACAAGTAACACATCAGTAATTAGAAGAGTGATCATTTGCTCCTGTCCTGCATCTGCGTCCCCATTCCTCGTCTTGCACATTGCTCACAGCCTCTTCAGCGACTTGCTACGTTCAGTGCCGTTTTTCATCTTGAATTCGTCACTGTATACATGAATGCCCGAAGACGTTGTGCCCAAAGAGTGTTGGGGGGCCACGACACTTGAAAAACTTCCCATGTTCCCCCCCAGGCCGTGAGGAGACCAGAAGTTGCAGGTGAGCGGAGGCTCGACGCGCTTTTCACAGCATTTTCCTTAGGACCTGTTCGTTGAAAGGTGTTGTTGCAAGCATCATCAACTGGATCCTTAGGGCTCCATGTTGTTCCCAGCTACCTGTTATTCAGCACCAATTTTTGCACTCTGGGCGGTATGTGCAAAGTGAAAAAGCACAAGGAGTTCAGGCAGGGCCTTAGACCAACTTGGCTAAGCCAGGCCATGCTGTTGTCATCTATGACATATGCATCCGAAATAGGCCAGTATTCAAGGAGCTTCGGGGGCACTTACATTTTTTCTTGCTTCTTCTTCCCGCGAGTGAATACCCCGTTTTGTGACCAGAAGCCGCGTACGCAAGAAGCTCATGGCATTTGCGCAAGTCAAGCCTCGTTTTCAAAATTGAGCTGCGCTAAACATTCAAGGAGCGGCAACATGCAAGGCATCAATTGGAAACGCGTGTATTGGTAGGTTCTGAATGTTGAAGCCGCGGTCCTCTTTGTCCCATTGCTGCAGATCTCATGACTCCAGGGTTGTACATTCAGAATTGGAACTCTATGCATTCCGCGAACCTACTAGACGAAAACTGCGAGTAGTGCTCGGGGCATCCTGTTTCATGCTGTCGTACACAAGACCTACTGGACAAAGCAGGGAGCTCAGCTGTATGCATCGCGCCGCGTCTTTAGTGTGCTTGATGCTGGGGCGGCGCACTCTGATCGAAGTGTTATTATTGAAGCCTTAAAGCTCGGCACGCGCAATGGTCCTGAGGATGCCAAGTACAAAATCCAGAAAGCTGGAGACCCTACTAATAAAACGCGTAGTTACTTCACTGCACCTGAAGAAGGGTTTGATCTTCTCGCTATTTCAGATCCCTCTCCGGCAGTGCAAGCAGGGGCTTTTCAATGATCGGTGTAATGCAAGGCTATGTGACTTCAGCGCGGCTTCGGTTCTGGAAGAGGGCAAGATGCACAGCATCCAATCGTGAATCGCGTTATTTCCCAAGATTGTGTCCAGATTGACTTAGCTGAAGAGCGAGTTCAGCGATCGAAGCTGTGCAAAGTTTTGGAAATTGTGAATTTCATGTCATGTGTTTAGGACAGTGAGTTGAAGATTGCCGAAAAAGTTTCTTGAGACTCTGTGCCGAGGTATTTTGAAGTACCCACGAGCTCCAGATTAAGATCTCCAATCACAGATCTCAGGCTGAAGCCTTCGAACTCAATCTTCAGTCACTCTTCACGATTCAAATGACCGTAAGAGCTTTTCAACATCTTCTTAAAAAGTTTCGAAATTCAAAACTTCAGATAGCCAATTTTTCGTAGAATCTTCAACCTTCAACTTGCAGCTTCAAGATGTCAAAGTTAATCAATGCCACAATCCCTTGTGTGTTGGGCGGTGTACGCATGGTTCTGAGAAAGCCATGCGTATAGCAGCTGGTAGACGAGAGTCTCTTGCCCTCGCAGGAAGCGACCAGCCGCGTTGGACGATGACAGTCACAGCCTCAGGGTCTGGGGAGGGCTTGTGCTTTCAGGTTGCAGACTGCTAGACCATGCATGGAGCGTTTGGAATAGTTCTTGCTTGCTATTCAAGGTTCACGTGCGAGTAAACAAGGGCTCAGGTTCAGGGCAGATTCTTAGTTTCGTCGTCTTCGCCAAGCTCAGCTTTTCGTTTTGGGCCTCTGGCTGAAAGCTGGGCCACATCGGCCAGAACCCTACTGCACTTCCCAGGCCAGCTGAGCTTGCCGACGCAACCACGAAAGAGGTTTGGGCGTAACAAGCCATGATGTGATGAGTCAGTGATGAGAGGTAGCCCCTGCCGCAGTTCATGCGCAAAGGCATCTCAGAGCATGAGCTTGCTTACAGTACTTACAGCAGTGGCATGATATCCATAATCTCGAGACGTACAGGACGTGTTGCATTCGATCAAGGAAGCCCTGGGTTGAGTTTGTGCTGGCAGGTTTCAGGACAGTTAGAGTAGCTGAGCTCCGCAGGCCTTTCCCTGCTGCGCTTCGTGGTGTGGAGCTGGCCAGGCTCCCAGCACATTGTTCTTGATGAAAGTGGTGAAAGCACCTGCAGGCAGAGGGCCTGCACTTCTCTATCGCCTGACAATTCTTATGCTTTTCGGCATCATGTACATTCCCATTGCCAAGCAGCAAGCAAGGGTTAAGATCGCACCTTCCGCAGAGGCTTTGAGGGAGCGCTGTGCCTTTGAGACTTTAAAAGCACAGTGCCGAGTACCTGTGTCCAGACCACTGGAGCTGGTGATGAAAGTCCAGGCTTCTGAGGCTTGAAATACGCAAGCGGTTCCCAAGTAAAAGTCTCAGCTAGTTGGGCCTTCTTCCTCAAACTTGACCTGAAAACCACTGCTTTTGACTAGATGTAATGTGGCTCAGCAAACGTGCCGCCGAGGTGGAAGTCCCACCATGCGCCATAGAAGCACTCGCAGCCCACGGTCCGGATGGAGGCACCTGCATATCAAAGCCAGGTTGGGCTGCGGTTTGCGCCCTTCAGAGAAAGTAGTACAAGGCTGCATCAGCTTGGGAGATCTGGGAGGCTTTCCAGCATCATGAGTACTGCCGAAGGGGGCGGGGAGGGTCCTCAGCAAGCTTAACCTGAAAGTCCCCTCATAACGGAAGGAAGTAGCCTAGGCCAAAGGCACAGGAACGATGAAGGCAAGAAATTCCTAGATTCGATTCCGCCAAAAGCCTGTAGGCCTGGACAAATGTCATTGGCCTATGGCTAAGGAACGATCTGTTTGCAGCTGTCGTTGCCACGTAGGTCTGCACAGGGGTCCTCAGGCATTCGAGTTCGCATCAGGTTTTCTCTTGGGCCTGTCCAAGAAGACTGATTTCTCAACATCTGTGGATGAGCTAGGATATTTGTTGAATGTCTGTACTGGTTTAGTTGGAACTATTCATGAGTCATGGGTACTTCCGTGAAGGTTTGAGGACGCCACATTCCAGACTGCGTCTTTGAGATTTGTCAGCTTCCCCGTTTTGGAAGGCGCAGATCTGGCAGCGCCACGAAGAAGAGCGTGGCAGCCTCAGATCCTCCCCATCGTGGTTGAGATCTCTAAGCTGGCTTTTTCAAACTCTTTTTAAAAAGGACTTTTTGGAAAGCTTGTGCAGCGTGTAGTAAGGTGTCCATAAGAGCATCTCTGACTAAAGGCTCAGTTGAGAGTTCTTTTTGGCAGTAAGGCTCCTTGCGCGTGGCCGAGCTTTACATCCGCATTTGCCTATTTAGGGGGAAGCTCAACAGCTCGTCAGCTTCAGGGGCATATGGCCATTCAAGGCCATCTAATAAATCGATTGCCGGTTCGGACAAGCTTCGGTCTTGAAGCGCAAAGCTCCGAAGCCAGTAGCGTCAGAGCTTGGGGCGAAGCCACTAGCTGCAGAATTCTTGCGAAGCTCTGAAGCCACTAGTGACTAGCTTCATAGCCTCAAAAGCTTCGGTCGCTTCTCGAACCGAAGCCCTCGTTTAATCAACACTGATCGTGCAGTCTCAAGATATAGTCTCAGATTGGCAGTGAGTTCATAAACGTGGAGCAGCAGATGAAACGAAGCTGTGGTGCAGGCACGGAAAACAATTGTGATTACATTCTACCTTGACTCATCCCCTATGCTGGGCTGTTATGTACAGTAGCAGGGACAGCAAATTCACCATCGCAGCATCCTCGCAAGTTTCCGGGGTCGGACCCTTGACTTTGCATGTTCTGACAACAAGTTAGAAAACACCGCTCTAAACCACAGAGCTCGTAAAGGTCATGGCTTCATGGAAAAGTTGTCGAGAAGTACCCTTATACCCTAGGCTTGATGACAATTGGCAAGCCTCGTGGAGATTTGTTGTGCTCTGCGCTCCGAGTCCCCCAGACAGGACACGCGTGAGATTTCCACCGCTGCAGGCTGCCGGATTCCAGAGTTCCGGGTTGATCAAGGAGGGCGGTCATGACTAGATGGGTTGAAACGTATCCTATTCTTCAAGCGACGTTCAGAGGCCTGTTTTTTGTTTGTACTGGTACGGCTCTTAATGTGAGAAGGAGACCGGCCTATGACCGGTCTATTCATCAGATGCAGCGGGAAAAATAATTGATGTAACACCAGCAATGCAGCTGGTAGTCTTGGAGCAGGGAAGTAGGCTCCCTGCAACTTCGGCCAGGCTTGGCGCGGGGAGCGTGTAGTCTTCGAGCGCCCACCAGGCCGTTCTGATTTGTGGTGCAGCAAGCAGACATGTATGGAGACAGTAGGGGTGACGCACGAGCCTGACTAAGCACGTGGAAGCCGCAAAATTTGCTAGACAAGCATGGATGGCTGTGAGCCTGGGATGGCAGCTGAGAGTAACCTCAGACACTCTTGTGTCAACTTTGTGACCTGTTTGGTGCTTGGGAAGTGCGGTAGGAGGGGCCCAGATTGAATGAAAGCATTGCAGCCAGGATATCCAGGATGTGTGCTATCTTCAACCCCTCGTTTGCCGCATCAAGTATAAGTGGAACGGATTTCAATGGATCTCACATGTTCTGTCTGAGAGGTTCTGACGCGCCGCAGATGAAAGGAGCACAGGGCACAGAACACGGCTGCGCAAGGTAAGTGGATGCGGCATTTTGTTCAGAGGCAGAATTCTGCGGTCAGAAAGAAGCAATGTCTTAGTAGCGCACTTTGCGAAGCATGCCTTCATTGCCTGAACTGTAACATACGGCTTCAGCATGTTCGGTGCACTTACATGCTTTGGATCAAGCCACCCGTCCACTGCTTAGAGCCGCATAACCTGCAACGACTAGAAAGTCCTTGCCAGTGGCAGAAGATGCCAAGCTCATGCTTGAGGTCAGAACACCAGGAGCAGTACCTGCTGTAGTCGACGAGAATGCGCAGAGCCCTTGAACCTGATAGCTGCTGCCTGCGTTTGAAAGTTGCCATGGATGCCTGTGCCTCGGCTTGCGGCACTGCGCAAGCCGTCCAGGACATCCAGACAGGCCACTCCCAGATTTCAAAACCAACTCTGGGAATTGAGCAGTAGAGACTCTTCAATTCAACTTCTTCATTCAACGTGCGTTTGCATGAGAGACTTGGTGAAGCAGGGCCGAGCACGCAACTGCCTGCCAAATTGCGAAGAGGAACTTCTGAGCCCGCGGAGACGGTAAGAGAGCTGGAGGACCGTGCGGTGAAGAGTTGTTGTGGTACGTCATAGTTGATCTCGCTTCGGCGGCCATTACAGCCTTTTCGAGCAGCAGGTCAGCTGAGGGCTGGCAAGCGCCTGCTTCGGAGGGACACGGATCCAAGCCGAAGTGTTTCCTGGATATGTTTGACCGTGCTTGCAATGGTGCTTTGTCCTGTTGCATCTTTGCTTGTTGTGATGTTTTGTTTTTGTTCTCTTGCTGCGCTTGTGCTTTTCTTGCTGCTGCTGTTTCCGTGCTTGCCTCTTGTTTTTTGGCTTCATGTCTAGGGCTGCTCGATATGCCGAACATGCTCCCTGTGTGACGTACGTCAACATGAAGCTAAGACACGAGCGTCCTTACGTTCCGCATTTTCATTTTCATTGATGCCAGTTTTGTTTGCTGATCCTGATTTTTTTATACATCCCCCACCCAACTACCACAGCATAGCAACACAATCTGATGCTGAAGTCAGGAGCTGAACAGAGTGCTGGCTCAGCCTGCGTTGATGCTTGTAAGCCTCAAGCAGCAGCAGGTGGAGCATATTGTTCTTGTTTAAAAGGTTGGATGCATGGGGGTTGTTCTAAAGGTCCTTGTAAAGAAGGGACCATTGGGAATACACTCCCTTTAAAGGGATCCTGACAAAACACTGAACCTAGATTATGGAAGTTTTGGGAACAGGTATTTTTAACAACTACCGCGTAGGATATATTGTTCTGTTGGGTGATCAAGAGCGGTGTAGATACGTACGTACTCTCGCGAAGAAGAATATTAGAGGGGTAAGATCCATAAATCCTAAACCCTAAGCCCTTGATAGTAATTTCCATTTTCTTTTCCAGTATCCTAATCTACCCCCCCCAATATAACCCATACTTTATTGATCCTCTCTACGTATATATATATATATGTACATATTTATATTCTCCCTATATAGGGATCTAGTTTACCATCCTTGCACCTCCTTCTGTTGCTCCTGTACAGTTCTCATGAGCTGATTGGAGGCCCAAGCTCACCCCATTCCCGCAGACGCCATGAAAGTTACATAGCCGCTACATAAACCCTATACGTTGTCGATGCAATCCCTACCTGTATACTTTATATATATATATAGCATATGTCCCCTAAATATTCCCTATGTATCCCCAATATACTATGGTAGATTATGGTAGTTTCCATTGTTTTTCCATTATCCCTATGTAACCTCTATATAACCCCAACATGCTATAGTAGTTGCCATTTCATTTTCCATTATCCCTATGTTCCCTGGAACCCCTCCATATAGAAATATAGATGTATATATGTATATATACATCTATATATTTACATCTATATATATATACATCTATATATATACACATCTATATATATATATATTATAATACTATATTATGTTATTTTATATCACATATATAGAAGCCACCCCTTGGGTGAACAGGCGGGCGTCCAAGCCACGCTGTGGGAGCTAGAGCCGCTTTATCTGATCTCTGGGATAGTATGATAATATAGGGACTTTACGGGATTATATATAGGGTTATGTAGGGATAATTGAAAGGAAAATGGGAGCTACTGTTGGAGTTAGGGTTTAGGCTTTATGGATGTTACCCCTCCCTCAACATCAAGAATCATATGGAAGAATATGTTTTGAGGCATTTGTTGTGTTTTTTTTGTGTTATTTTTTTCTGTTCTTGGCGTTTTTGCTTCTCAGCTTTCTGGCTTGTTGGTTTGTCCGGCTTCTTGGCTTCAGTCTTGGCTTCTCAGCTCAAGAGCTTTTTGGCTTGCGGCCGTTTGGCTTCTTGGCCTCTCCTGCTTCTTGGCTTTCTTCCTGGCTTCTTGGCTTCTCCGTTACCCCCCCCCGGTTTGAGAAAGTTATCCATACTTATGGTACAAACTCATGTCAACACCATGTTTGCAGTGGGGGAAGGCTGTGCGGATCATTTGGTTTGCAAATGCGGGGGGCGCGCCCCCGCTGTTTAAGGCCATCCATGCTTGCCGCAAAGTCATCACCATGGGGATACGACCCCCCTTTTCAAGGCAATCATGGTTACAATAAAAAGCACGCATCATGTCACCACCATACTTGCAGCCAAGAAAAATTGCGCGGATCATTTTTGCTTGCAAATGGGACCCAACCCCCCGGTTTAAAAGGCCATCCGTGCTTGCGGTAATAAACATGTCATCAGCATGTTTGCAGTGGGGGAAGGCTGTGCGGAGCATTGCTGCGCCCCCCCAACCCCCTGATTTATAAGTCATCCAGGCTTATGGTACAAGAACATGTAATCACCGTGGTTGCAGTATGTTGCCGTAGGGGAAGGCTGTGCGGATCATTTTGTTTGCAAATGGAGGGATAGCTGCGTGTCCCCCAACCCACCCGCTTTGTTAAGGCCATTCATGCTTGTGGTAAAGGTCCATATCATCGCCATGCTTGTAGTAGGGGAAGGCTGTGCTGATCATTGTGTTTGCAATTTGCAAATGGAGGGATTTCTGCCCTCCCCCCCCACCCCCTTGCTTTTCAGAAGTCATCCATGCTTATGGCACAAGAACATGTAATCACCATGGTTGCAGTAGGGGAATGCTGTGCGGATCATTTTGCTTGCAGATGGAGGGGTTGCTGCGCCCCCCCACCCCCCTTGCTTTTTAAACGTCATGCATGCCTACCGTAGAAACGATAGGAAAAGATCATGTCATCGCCATGTTTGCCGTAAGGGCGGCTGAGGGAGCATTATGCGGATTATCATTGTTAAACCATTTTTCTCGGTTTGTAGGTTACTATTATCATCATCATTGTTAACCGTGTTTCTTCTCACTTGATCATGACTACTTTGATTACTATTGCAACAAGTATCACTTATTGTCATTTCTTTCCCACTTATCGCTATAATCTATTGAGCTCTCGCAGGAGCATCCTAACAGATTGAGCTCTCCCTCGTGGAGTTTCTCACATTTTGACTCTAAGTTGAGCTCTCCTGCAGAGCATCCTCAAATTTGGGCTCAAAATTTCTCCCATGTTGACACCAAAAATTGGGCTCCGCGTAGGGCGTCCTCAGATTGGAGCTCAACAATTGAGCTCTCGCCTAGAGCATTCTCACATTTTGGTTTACAAGATGCCCAGGACCACTTAAAAACGAAACAGCATACCCAAGAAAAGCAAAAACATGTTAAATTAGCTTTTCGCCCGAATCCAATGGAAAAGAACATGAAATATAAAATGGAAGCTGGGGGTATAGAGGGGATTATGGGGATTGGGGGTGTCCCAAAATTTAGGGCACTACTTTGGGGGTTCCCATAGTAAGCAGATTTTGGGGTGTATACTGGGGTCCCTAGCTTGGGACACTACCATATCCCAAACCCTCATACAACCCCCTTGAGCCTATATGATCCTCTACCCCCGTACAATTGCCATATATCTCAATGTAGGCATATAACCTTGTGAATATATCTATCTATCTATACATATATATATATGTATATGCATACATATTCCCATTAAACCCTATATAATCACATTATAACTTCTAACCCGATATGTATTCCCAATGCAACCTCATCTAGTCCCTATACAATCAAATGGTCCTATATAATTTGCCACTCCACCCTATATGATCCTTATGTAGCCGTATACCATCCCATGATGACTACAATGGTTGGCAGCAGCTGTAGCTGCAGTAGTAGCTACTTGTTGTATCAGTACCCTGGCTGAGTGCTAGAGCTTTTGTTCCTGCATGTTACTAGTGCCAGTGCTGGTACCAGTACGAGAATCGCTATGCAGCATTAGTACTAGAGTAGCTGTACTCGCAGTGTTCGGTCATCATCGCCTTGGTGTTAGGCACAACTGTTTGCGGATGTGGACCAGAAATTCGTCAACCCTCTCCCCTTCCACCCTATCCAAGTCTCATTGGATGTTGTTAGGGAATGGGGCTTTGGCTTCCGGTCACTCCATAAGAGGATGTTGTGGTAGGCAGCCAAAGGGTTCGCTTCTCACCATGGCCCCAACCTGTTTCCTGGGTCCTCACTACGGGCCCAAAATGGGGTTTCTGGGGCTTTCTAGGGTACACGAGGTTTATGAGGACTCCATAGCTCTCGCCTTAGACAAAGGTAGCCATGTAGGATTCCCTCGGGGATCATTGGATAGAATTGGAACGACGACCGATGCACCATCAATGGGCATCGCCCATCACATGGTGGTTCGAATCCCCCATGCGCCGATGAAGACACCCTTTGAAGAAGTCCCAAGGCAAAGTCTCGTACGCTCCCGAGCTGCAGCGAACTCACTGGCCAAAAGCCGGCTTGCACAGGAGCCCTGTGAGAGATGCACGAAGCTTCACATTCTTCTCACGGTTCTGGGGATTCATGCTTGATTCATGCTTGATCACTTCGGGGTGGAGGCTGGAATGATGGCTGGCTGCCAGCCCTTGGACTTCTCATTCTTGGTTTTTGTTGCATCCTGTTGCTTTGCAAGTTGTTGCAGACACTGCAGGCCAGCTTCATTGACAGTTGCAGGAAGTTGTGACACCGGAGAACTGCGAACTCTCCGTAGTCGCGGCGCAGGAGGCTCCAGGGTCATATTTGGCTTCCTTGGTTCTTGTGGATCAGGACGGTCCCTGAAGGCTAACACATGTGCGTTCAGAATACAAACACAAGAAAGAAGTGGGCTTCAGCAAAATATGAACCCCTGGATCGCTGCATGCAGGCCGTTCCGGCAGCAGCACCGGCGCCGGGGCCGTCGCCTGCGATGCTGCCCTGTTTGGGGATGAGGGCTTTCGAGAAATCAATCGGATCACACTCATTATACCAAGAGGCAAGATGGCCACGGAGGTTTCCTCAGTCACATAAAGGAGTAACAAGATGCAACATGCTGTGCCACTCCGGGCACCTGGGGATTTCTGTTTCAGCGCAAGGAAGATTGGAATTCCGGCAGGGTTTCTGAAGGACAGGTTTTTATGAGGCTTCCACTGCTTTGCCTTGATGGTCAGGCATTCGAGCACAGACGCTCCACAGAGGACCTTGTAAGGATTCTAAGGGAATCCATTGCTTGGCTACCGTTTCGTAAGAAGATGGTCAACAGATATCAACAGTTGCACTAGCCTGGCCAGGGTTAAGTTGGCTTTAGTTCTCTGTCTTGTGCGGCAGTTCACCTGCTGCAAAGATGCACATAGTGCAAAGCTACAAACTGTCTGAGGAGGCACTGCTGGAGGTGTTTGAAGAGCAATCTCAGCATCTTGGCGGCAATTCATATGTGTTTTGCACATGTTGGTTGCACCTATATGTCCTGCAGTCCTTTGATGTTATCATTTTGGTGTTCTACAAGAGCTTCAAAACCTATTCGTATCTTCACAATGCTCTGAGAAACCAAGCCCAGTCAAAGCCTGTTGAAGGAGATGCGCGAGTCAGAAAGGATAAGCCTTTTCAGAGACCAGTAGCTGTGCTGGATGATCTGCACATGTTAAGTCGGTCTGAAATGTGAAGGACTGCGTTGCAGAGCACTCACACCATGTTGGAGAAGCTTCGTCGAAGCCGTCGACCAGAAATGCGGGAGCTGCCCCCCTTGTCCGAGGCGGTGCTGGCCAAGATGCTGTAGCCGTAACATCTTGTTATCTTAGAGGGACCCTGGGCTTTGGGCCCTTTAGCTTCCTGCGAATTTTGCCAGGGCATCTGGCCTGTGGTCCATGCGCTGTGCAAGAACATCATCCTCAGCCAATGGTTCGAGTGCGCGATTTCTTTGGTCATCGTGGCAAACTCCGTGCTGCAGCCTGCCCGCAACATGTGACGTGCTTGCTAGCCGTTAGCATCTTGCAACATGATGATGGCTTCATCTGCCTTCGGCTTCTGACTCAGGAAGCTGCAGGGATGTACTTCTTCTTTTGTAGGCATGACTTGGCGTGGCCTCATTGCTCATGGCGAATTCTCCAGCAGGCTACCTCCGGTCAGTATCCGCACGTTCAGTATCCGCACGTCCCACGGCACAGTGCATTGAAAGACCTTATGAACATCCAGTCGTTTAGGCGTTTGCATCCCAAAGAAAGTGGATGTCCAGTGATGTACGCACCTACTGGAACCCGGAAGCTCCCGCGCGTGAGAGAAGGTGATGGTCCCTGCCTGCAACCCCCTGAAACGTCTTCCCAAATGTTGCCAAGGATTGGAATCGAGAGCCAGCTGAGCCTGAGCGGCGAGGGAATCCACTGGGCGGACCAGGCAGAGATCGGCCGCTCGAACCAAAGGGTTGTCTGCAGGCTTCGTTGCTCTTTAATGCTGTGGCCTGCAGTGGCCCGCGGACCTCTCTACCCTCCCCTTGCTTGACAGCAAAGCCCGTCTCAAGAAGGCTTCCTGGTGATCTACACGCTGGAAATCGCCATCCGTGCGACTGCGCTCCGCTGGCTGGTTTTCCGCTCCTTGATGCTCTTTTGTATGGCCTGGGTGCTTATGTTTAGGGCTGGGTTGTAGTCCAGGATCAAGTGATAGCCAGCGTGCTGGAATTGACAAATGTGCGGAGTGTACGGAAACAGATGTAAATGTCTGGCCAGCACCTGGGACTGCGCTTGCAGTACACATCCTGCTCCGAGCCACAGTTTGAGAAACGAGTTAGTTGCTTGCCTTGTGTCCGGGCTCATGGAGCGCATCAGTGCAAGGCTGAACCAAAAACTGGCTAACCAGTCAAGACCACCAATGCTCAGCAGACAAAACTGGAGCCCATCATATTCCTAAAGCCGCCTTTCCTTCCAAAACTTTATTGATCCTTGTGAAAGACGACCATCAGTTCTCTCAACTGAGGAGATGGCTGGTTCATTTTTGATTTCGTGCTCGTGATCAGCTCCTTTATAGAACAGGCCGTGTCTTTGTCGACTGGCGGGTCGGACCAGCTGCTTGGCCCCAAGCCTGAGCCTTCAACTGTGTGGAGTTTTGGTTTGTGCAATCGTGTCATAAGTGAGTAGAGATTGGCGTGCAGATGGTAAGAAGACCCCACCCAGAAACTTGTTTTTTCTGCTGCTCGCGATTGCCACACAAGCTGAGGCAGATCATGATCATGCGGCTTCTTCGCCTTTTTCGCCTTGTCCGAACATTTAGGATGATCCTTGGCGCGCTCCGGGAGCATTTTTAGTGTGTTTTCCTGCGTAGCCATGCGCTCAACTGCTAAAGACAGCACTTACCTTAACCTACCAAGGATCAAACAGATTCGATCCGTCTGGCGACTGGTAGCTGGGCCTCGTGAGCCGTTAGTCAGCCCTGCAAGGTAACTTTGGAGTTTCCATTAAGGACTAGAGTTTTTCGAGTGTTGGGGGTCGAACAGGGGAGCCCTTTTGTTGGGAACCCCCCTCAGGAAAGCGTTCGGGACCATTAGGTCAGGCAACCAAGAAGAGCGATAACGCACCCCTTCCCAAGAACCCATCAATTCTGCGAGAGGTAGCTGTTGGCCTTGGCCTCGAGCCCTGAAGTCCCAAATAGTAGTTACCCTAATTAAGGCGACCCGAATTTAGACCCCCAAATACTGTAGTCCTTATTATGGGGACCCCCAAAATGGTACCTAATCTTGGGAAACTTTCAAATAGACCTTCGTTTCAGCACTGTGTTGACAGTGTGGACAAGGTCTACGGGCTCATGAACTGCGGCGAAACAATGCTTTCTGCCTTTGCATTGCTGGGTCTGGTCCTCTACGTCTTTGGCGTGCTTGGGCTGAAGGCTGGGCGTTGAGCATTTCCTAGACCTTTAAGCTGTTCGGTTGGCAGGCCTGTAGTAGCCGATACCTCGCAAGTTGCATAGCATGCGACCACCGCGCAGATCATCAGAGAGGACCCTGTCCTCCTTGCCAATGTTGCCGCTTGGTCGGTAAAGTTCCTGTGCATTCCCGCGCACCATTATCGGCTGCTAATTCTGCGCATGCTGGTACTACCAGCAGCGTCAGTATCAGCTTGTATTTATGATGAGGAGGAGGTGTTTGCTGTTGTATACTGCAGTGCTGCTTCATGCCATACCCGCTTTCCCGTGTTACGTGCTCAGTCGTCGTTGCATCAAGTTGCCTCGACTCTTTTGGTAGATTATTAAGGGAAACACAACGCTTTGATCTTTGGCCATTTTTGGCCTCTTTGTCCAACTAGGAAACGCGGCTCATCCTCGAGGATCGCTTCAGCTCACTGGGCGTGACGATGATGACGCTACTTGGCCAGTACATGACGTCAGTTTTTTTTTGGCTTGTGAAATTTGACCTCTGGGCGGGCTGGTTTGTGGTCAGTTGTGTGAGTGATGGGCCTTTGCGAGTCTCTGTTTGGTTTGCGTGCATGATCAGCTTGGATTACGAGTGGTCTGATCCGCTTGTAGGAGTGGTCAAACTGGAAGTAGTTGTTGTGCTTGTTTGACTGCAAAGGCAAGTCTGAGTTGCACGAGTATAAGCATAACCCCTGTATCTGGACGGAAATCTCTGCCATACGTTTCTGAGGTATGCATAAGCGATGTTCGGCGTAGAAGTGACATACTAAGGTATGCAGGACTCACATGTGCATGTCGCCTAGATTCTCTGAGAAGATGCAGGATACAACTCACCTGTATAATCCCGTGAGCTGGATATGCAAGTCTGACCTAGTGATACTATTTGGTTCACGAGGGATACAACAAACCAGTCCTTGCAGTTTTTACAATTCGATATAGGACCTGTGCAGTGTGGTGTAGTGCATCTTAGCTGTTGCGGTAGAGCAGTGCATTTCTGGGCCGTTCTGGTTTGGTGTTGTGCGGTACACTCATGCAGGTTTGACAGCTTGGCTATCTCACTTCTAGTTTCACAAGCACCCACCCCAAGCCAATCTGAGAACACAAAACCAAGCTAGGCATTCATACTAAACCATTTAGCCAATAGGTTCGCCATATCACGCACAACTGAGACGTTTGCAAGATGAGCGCAAGGTACCGGCAAAAATGCCAACTTTGCTCATCCTATGCGTTTCATAGCTCCGCTAAGTAGGACTGCTCATTTTCCAGTTGCATCAAGAGCGTTGGTTGTTTGCGATAGCAAGGTTGACGCAGTTCGTGACCGTGGATTCCATTGCCAACATCTATTTGCCGATCATCCGGCTAAATCCCTGGCTGAGCCTGTATTTCACTCTGCTGATTTTGGTGGTGTCGATCTCACTCATGAACTTGGCAGCCTGGTGTGTTCATGCATTCTCAAAGCGGGCAAATCTTTTCTGCTCTGATGGTTGTAACAATACGGCACTTGGTGGCTCATGACACTGGCAACTTAATTTAGGGCCTGGCGGCAGGTGCCGGCCTGGACGCTGCCGTCCTTGCCCACCCAGCTATCAAGTAAAAGCCAAGCCCACCCCAGCCCTGCTGATGCTCTTGATTGAGAGAAGTGCACGAAAAAGTTATGTTCGTGTTACCTGGATGTTCTTTAGGTCTTGAAGACCCTGTTCTCTGTTTTTTAACTGAAAGCGGCCCAAAATGGGGTCCCAATTGTGCTGATGATGTTCCTGTACGAGGCGCATCAACTGCCCAATTGGGACCCCATTTTGGCTTGGGATCAGGAGGGTCAAAACACCAAGAAAAACCATCAAAGATGACTTTAGACACGGTTCTCTGTGCAGGCTGAGCATGTTCTAGCCCACAATTGCATTTTTTTGAGCAAATCAGCTGCCAATAGCAGCCAGAATTCATGCATTGGACAAGCTTAGGAGCCACGAAAGCGTTGGAACTATGGGCAAAACAAAACCAAAAACCATGCAACATGCACACTGTAAGGGTTTGGCCTGGGCAATGCACGCCAAACCTGTCTCATGCCTGTCATGCAGTGCAAATCCTACTAACACTGGTATTTACAGCCACAAAAACTGCCCACAGATTGAATTTTGAGCGTTTTGTCGGGGTTTATAAAGCATTTTAAGCGCCCTGCAGCCCACCAAGAGCCAGCATCATCAGCCTTCTTGACACCACACATATGAGGCTTTAAGACCCCTCCAAAACCCTAGGTATGGTGAGGTGGCCAAACAGTGAGAAAAGAAGGCCCAGCTGTGCTGATGATGCTGGCCCAAAAAAACCTGCCCAAAACCTTCTGTAGCGTTGCGGGTTTGGCTTTTTAGGCTTCGGGGTTGGTTAGGGTTTAGGGTTCAGGGTTTACGGTTCAGGGTTCAGGGGTCTGGACGGGTGTCATGGGGTGGGGACTGCTCGGTGAGGGCAATGAAGGGGGGTCTGGGGCAGGGGGTGCCATGGGGGGGTTTGGGGGTTGCCATGCGGGCTGCTGGGAAAAATCTGGGCCCCATGACCACCAATGGCACCCGCCAGTATGCATCAAACCTCTCCGTTTTTGAGATGGTAGGCCGTTTTAGAAGAGCCCTAGCCTGCCCCCTAAGGCGCACCATGAAGCAGGCTAGCTGGGCAAAGCAATCTTGCAGACACGGGGCTGGCAACGCCTGGACAGTTCTGCTTTCTTTAGGGCTTGGCCTCGAAACAACCTCTCAAACACGCGCGGCCGGCAACGCCTGGACAGTTCTGAGTCGGTGAAACATGCTTTCTCTGGGGTTTGGGCGGGGGTCTGGAGAGCAACGCATGGATGGAGGTGGTTTTAGGGGGATGGAAAGGTGACTGAGGGGGTGGAGGGGGTGGGTGGAGGGGGAGTGCATGGGGGTGAGTGGGAGGCCGAGGCTGTGCGCTCGCCCCGTCAGGCCGGGGTCGGCGGATTTCTTTCCTTCTAGGCCATTGCTACAGCCACAAGCAAGGTAACCGCCACGTTGGTCGAAGCTGCCCTGGAGCATGCCCGGCAAGAAAAGGAGGAGGAGCAGAAGCTGGCGAGCATCGCCACCAAGCGCCTGGTCAGCATTGCTGATGCCACGGCATTCGTTTGTAAGCTTCTTTGTCTGAGTTTCAAACAACGTCCCTCCAGCCATTCACGTGGAATATGTTTTTTGTTAGAAGCACCCCAGTAAAAGTGCACAAAAGACGAGTGGATGCTAAACGGATTATACCTTGTGCATCTTACGTGTGTTCCAGGCACATGCTCCCCGACATCGTGAATCTGTTCGACGCCGTGGATGCAGACAGCAGCGGCGAGATCGTGATTGAGGACATGCATGGAGTGTGCGTACTCGTTTCGTGATCCATGCTGGAAGGCTTAAATCAACATGCGTGTAACTTATTGTGGCAATGGCGAGACTCCTAGGTATGCTTTGAGATTTTTGCTGTGTCCGCTCCGTGATGATACGTTTTGTGGAGCATATTCTCAAGCCTCCAAAAAAGCTACCGCTGGCGGTTTGACAAAGGCTGAAGAACCTTAGCCTAAGGATCTACCCTGGCCAGGCGGAATGACACGAAATGATGTTGTAGCGAGTGTGGTTTCGCGACATGCCATCATTAGTGGGAGCAAGCCAAACGAACCCCCTAGATGGTTCATACGTATGTGTGTAGGCTTCCTACCTAGCTTCAGGAGATTTGCCGCTTTGAGCGCGACGGGCTGGTGCCGCCAGAAGCTGGGAAAGCAAGGAGGGCCTGAACACCTCAGAATGGTGTGCAGCTGGCAATCAAAGCAGTTCTGGCAGCAGGAGCAGAAGAAGTAGTGGTAGTGGTAGTGGTGGTAGTAGTAGTAGTAGTAGTAGCAGCAGCAGCAGCAGCAGCAGCAGTAGTAGTAGTAGTAGTAGTAGTAGCAGCAGCAACATCAACATCAGCAGGAATGGCGG